GCACGACCCAGGGAAAACGAATAGCCCGCATACTAGCACTACAAACGTATCATTCAATAACCAAGCAAACCGACTGTTTTACGTTAAGGATCGACGTTCTTCCATTACCTTCCTCATCGACACGGGAGCGGAAGTCAGCGTCATCCCAGCGACCGCTAGCGACAAGCACTCGAAGCCTAGGTACAATTTGCGTGCGGCCAACGGTTCTCCGATAGCTTCATTTGGTCAGCGCATGATGAACCTAGACCTCCATCTTCGCCGAGATTTTCAGTGGGGCTTCGTGGTTGCGTCTGTACCCTTCGCAATTATCGGCATCGACTTCCTCCGACATTTTGGGTTGCTTGTTGATGCTGGTCGCCACAGACTTTTAGACGACCGTACGAAACTAGGTGTTGATGGTGTCCTCTCAGATGCCCCGATAATTAGCCTTGTATTTCGGATCGCAGACGCACCGTCCGACTACTTGAGCCTACTCTCCGAATACCCGCGACTGGTTTGACCGGCTGCAGAGCTTCTACCAATCACGACACAGGTCGCTCACCACATATTTACGCGCGGTCAACCAGTTAGCGCACGACCAAGACGGTTTGCTCCAGACAAACTACGGGCAGCACGAGCCGAATTTGACCACATGCTTCAACTGGGTATCGTCAGACCGTCCAACAGCCTACGGGCGTCGCCTCTGCACATGGTCCCGAAGAAGGTCATGGGTGACTGGCGTCCTTGCGGCGACTACCGATCCTTGAATACAGTTACCACGCCCGATCGCTATCCGATCCCACACATAGTGGATCTCACCGCCAGTTTGGCAGGTAAAAGTATATTCAGCAAAATTGACTTGGTACGCGCATACAACCAAATTCCGGTAGCTGAAGCGGACATCGCTAAAACTGCCGTGACGACTCAATTTGGTTTGTTCGAGTTTCTGCGCATGCCATTTGGCCTAAAGAACGCCGCGCAAACTTTTCAGCGTTCCATCGACCAAGTTTGTCACGGTTTAGACTTCGCTTACGCGTATCTCGATGACATTTTAATCGCAAGCTCTTCACGAGAAGAGCACATACGCAACGTACTAACACTTTTTGATCGTTTATCTCAACACGGGGTGACGATCAAGGCAGAAAAGTGTTCGTTTGGTGTCGATCCAGTCTACTTCCTCGGCCATCGTATCTCCTCTGCAGGCGTCGTACCACTGCAGGATAAAATTCAAGTCATCAACGACTATCCCGAACCTCATTCTTTCAAACAGCTCAGACGTTGTGATGGCCTTGTCAACTTTTACCGACGATTTATACCCAACTGCGCCTCGCTGATGCAACCCCTCACGGACCTTCTCCGAGGGAAACTCAAGAAATTCGAATTTCCTACGGTAGCATGCGCTGCTTTTAAGTCGCTGAAAGAGGCTATCGCCAACATAGCTTCTATAGCGCATCACGATCCGACCGCCCCACTGTCCCTCAGTACTTACGCCTCGGACGTGGCAGTCGGCGCTGTTTTGCAGCAACGAGTAGCCGATATGTGGCAACCCTTGGCGTTTTTCTCCAAACGCCTACAACCTACCAAATCTCGCTACAGCACGTTCGGTAGAGAACTACTAGCCGTATATCTAGCGATACGTCACTTTCGACATGTCCTAGAAGGCCGCTCCTTTGTCGTCTTCACCGACCACAAACCCCTGACTTACGTGCTCGGCTCGACTACCGACCGATACTCTCCTAGAGAGTCTCGCCACCTTGACTATATCGCTCAGTTTACGACCGATATACGGCATGTCTCAGGTGTGCACAACCCCGTCGCCGATGCACTTTCCCGCATTCAAGCTATTTCCGCTGACGCCGGCACTGCTATCGACTTGGCAGCCATGGCCACAGCACAACTCAACGATCCTGAGGTTGATCTACTACGCAGGTCTCCCTCATTGGACATACGACCCGTTCCGCTGACATCATCAGACGGCACTATACTCTGCGATCTATCTCTGGGCACGCCGCGCCCAGTCGTCCCACGCGAGTTTCGGCAGACTGTGTTCGACGCGTTGCACGGCTCGTCTCATCCAGGCGTTCGTGCATCGGTTAAACTCGTAACCGCACGGTTCGTTTGGCGCAATGGTAATCGGGACGTCCGTACCTGGGCAGCTGCTTGCCTTCCGTGTCAACGCGCGAAGGTGCACAAGCACACGAGAAGCCCATCAGGCACGTTTCCGACGCCAGACGCACGTTTTCATCACGTGCACGTCGACCTCGTAGGTCCTCTGCCGCCTTCCAAAGGCTCTGTATATCTACTGACCTGCATCGATCGATTTACTAGATGGCCTGAGGCCGTCCCTATCCCAAATTGCTCCTCGGAAACAGTAGCGAAAGCTTTTATGCAGCGCTGGGTAGCTCAATACGGCTGTCCCGCCATCGTGACCACCGATCGAGGGTCACATTTTACGTCGACATTTGCCACGTTACTTAAGGATTTAGGCTGTCGCCACATTCAGACGACAGCGTATCAACCGGCCCCTAACGGCATGGTGGAGCGTTTTTACCGCCAGTTAAAGGCAGCACTACGTGCGCACGCAGATCCTTCATGGTCTGAAACGCTTCCCCTCGTTCTCCTAGGCTTAAGAAACACGGTTAAGACCGACTTCGACGCCACACCAGCGCAGCTAGTCTACGGTTGCACGCTGCGGTTGCCCGGACAGCTGGTAGCACCAGCCCCATGTACTTCCACTTATGACTAAGGAAGTTACACTGATCGATTGACTCACCAGATGCGTGAGCTACGTCCACCCGCTCCTCGATCGCAGAAGATACCAGTGTACGTGCCCGAGAAGCTGTCTACGTGTTCACACGTCCTTCTTCGCGCAGACGGTGTTCGACAGCCTCTTCAGTCGCCGTACATAGGACCCTTCAAGGTGCTGCATCGTGCGAGTAAGGCGTACACTATTGACCGCGGTGATCGACACGAAGTCGTCACCATCGACCGTCTAAAACCCGCCTTTATGGAAGTAACTACCTCGTTTACTTCGTCTAGTAGTGCCTCGTGCGACGTCACAACTCACCGTACCAGTTTTCTGCATGCTAATGAAGTCCAACCGGACCACGATCACGGTCTACAAGCTTCAGCAGTCCCGACATCACCCGAACCTAGTCCGCCGCCTCCCACGACCAATCGCCGTGGTCGGCAGGTACGTAAGCCCGTTCGCTTCTCCGACTATGTACAGTGTAAATACTTTTAACTTTGTAGATATTGTATATATTTGCCTCATTTTTGGTCGATTAACAAACAAAAATATCAGAAACCTCCGAAAAACCTTTTTCAAAAAAATATTCAAAAACAAAAGATATTTAAACACACAGCTTATTTGTTTGTTCTTTTTTGCGTTTTCTGCGCGTGTTTTTCCATTTTCTCGTCTTTACATGCCCCAACCCTCCCCTTCGTTCGACTGGCCCCCACGAGGAATGTTTTCGAGGACCCTGACGCGAACACTGATCGTTTCTCCGCGGTACGAATGTCGCTTCCTCGCGGGACGAGGATCGCTTCTCCACGGGACGAGGATCGCTTCTTCGCGGGACGAGGGTCGTTTCTCCGTGGGACCATGGTCGTTTCAACGTGGGACGAGGGTCGTTTTGGCGCGGGGCGGGGAGCGGCGGGGGGGGAGACACCACTCCAAATCGCACCGTTTGGCAGCAGCGGAGGTTGAGGTCCTGTCGGCCTTTTTCTGGGCTAGCCAGTTTTTTGTAGTCCGACAAGCCTGCTCCAACGGCTCGCCGACATGCACCCTGCCCTGCATTCAATAAATAACAAATCATAAACGGCACAGCGGACTCCGACTTCCGACGAACCCCCATTTACACGAACGCACGCCCATTTTCACTCGGCACGACTTTGCCTTACGAACCTCGTTTCAACATTCCTTTTCGATTTCGAAGGTTTTCTATGTTCAGCCTTCTAGGGGGGGAGCTCTGTAGCGCACAAAAAGATAACTCTTATCTTTCATGCACAATTTACTTGTTGACCGATTGTACATTACTCCTTCTCGTTTTAATCTTACAACCGGCTCGACACACAACCGCCTTGTAACTTCCCGCGCTCACGTGTACGCTCTCGTCTCGATTCATCCGTCCGTTTCTTGTTGTAGCCCATCGAATACAGTCCGCTGTGTCCGACTCCAATTGCCTTCTGATATCCGCGCTTAACTGCGCGCACCGTCTCGGACTAGTATTAACTAGTCCTACAATCAGTCGTTTGAAATGATGCTTCGCTGCTATACAACCATGATGACCTATGCAATGAAGAATAAAAAGAGGGAGAAGGAGGATTTATCTGAAAACCTTGATGCACAAAGCAAATATTCAAGGTCAAGGCGCCTACACCTTGTGTAGACAACATACCGTCGCAAACAGCTGGTTATCGTGCAAAGATAAGGCGGCGTCGGTGAGACAGCCTCCTTGCGGCTTTCACTGCCAAGCGTCATAATCAGCCATTACCACACAGATAACTAAGCACAAAACGCACTTTAAACAGACAATCCAGTCCAGTTTTGAATGTATTACAAAGATACCCATGGCAAATCGCGACATTACTTATAAAACAAACACCGCCTACGTTTTCGTCAAAAGTGGAAGACCAACGTCTTATTGTAGTGTTTGTAGCCACCTGAAAGCTGAAGAGCATAACAGGCAAAATAATAGCTTTTATGTCGGAAGCTGATATTACATATAGTTTAATTCATGCCTAACACCACTCGGCTGTGCCTATAATTAGTTCATCTTAGCAAAAGCAAATAATTTCTCAGCGCAAGTGGCCGATAGGTTATCGCAACATAGCCAATTTTTGTGACACGACGTCCCAGTAAGACACGACTAGGACGACTTGCAGCCGTCAGGCATTTGGCTGATCGTCAGCCTAGGCCGATAGAAAACATATAAGAATAAACCATGTCAAAAATATAGTGCTAACAATGAATATATAACAAGTTATTATTATATTTTTCAAAGCAGCGAGTTGCCTACCAGCTGAAGTCAAGCCGTAGCTAAATTAGTTGAGGGTCGGATGCCATTGAAAACTGGACTACCAGGAGGAAAGTAGTAGAATTTCGAAGCAACGCCAGAAGAATGCGGGTCTTGTTAGAAAACGGTCAAATAGATGGTATTTGTAGCGAGTATCCAATCGCGAGTTGCCAGCAGGCAAATTATGTATGAAATACCGCAACGCAGCAGTTAGCTTTGTTTACGGCATTGAAAAAGTAAAACAAGCAGTTTGCAGGCGCTTTGTTGTAATGTCTAAGGTTGCAGGACCCACCTACAAAACGAGGAATGTGTGATTATTATACATGAAAGTCAAGTATATAGAGAAGCCAGCGTCGTCACGCAGACGAAGTTATGCAAACGATCTGCCGTCCGAGCTAGAATAGGATTGCTTGATTTATGCGGATGATCTAAAGACATGGAAGGAGGTATCCTCTCTAGAGGATACTGATGGACTACAAGTGACGCTCGATCTCCTGTACACTTGGTAGATTCAGTGGCGCTTACCCATTAATCAAGACAAATGTTCCGTCCTGTCTATCGGCGTTCCTGAACCATTCGGCGCTTACCACATTGGTGGTTGCTTGCTCAAAAATGTCACTTCAGAGGGAGATCTGGGCGTGATTGTTTCCCCGGACTTAAGATCCACTCAGGACACCATGAAGAGGGTTGCCGCTACCTACAGGACGTTTCATGCCATCCGAAGAGCTTGTTAGGCGGAGCCTGGGATGCTAGTCGGCAAGCAATGACACATAATACGTGTCAAATACGACAGTATAGAAGTCGGAGGTGAGTTGTAAACTCGATGTGTTGATGACTTGTGTGTTCCAGTCGCCGGATCAAACTGTTGAAGCCCTCTCGGCTATTGTGTGCACTTCCTCTGCTCAGTTTACAGTTGTAGTGGTATATCGAAGTCCTGGTAGTAGCTCCAGGGAGGTTATTGAATTTATTCGTACTCAGACTGCCAATAGGTGTCTAATATTGGGTGACTTCAACCTCCCTGAAGTCTGCTGGGCTGATCTATCTTGCAGTTCGGCGGTGGGCACTTTCGGTTCGGATCTCCTTGAGCTAACATTGCAACTGCCTTTGCATCAGTTCGTGGACCTCCCGAATAGATATGTGCGCAACCAAATTCCGTCTACCTTGGATCTCCTTTTTGCGAAGTCACACGATTTCGTAAGTGATATTACCTACGACTGTCCTCTAGGAGCCAGTGACCATGTCTGCATATCCTTTCGATGTGCTCTAACTAAGTGTCATTAAGCTACCGCTGAGGCATGTCCAAATATTTGGCGGGCAGACTTTAACGCAATGCAGGCCAAAGCTTCCGTTTTGCGTTGTGCGATCACCGTGGCTGACACCGTTGAGACAGCCTGGGAGAAATTTAAGGCATACCTCACCGAGATCTCTGCTCCCCACATCCCATTCACTAAGAGAAGGGTGACACGGGCGCAGCCTCCATGGATAGATCATACAGGTAAATACCTGCTCAGGAAGCGCTCTAAGTGCTGGCGAACTTACCAAGCGGCTTCATCAACCAGCACCTACGAAAGCTATCGAGCGGTTAGAAATAAATGTAAGCATCATCTTAGAACTCTTCGTCTTCAGTACGAGGAGGATTTGGCTAACGCAGCCGTAACAAACCCAAAGAAGTTCTTTGCTTACGTAAAGAGACGTAGCGGTACAAACTCGTCTATACCGGCTTTACTACGAGCGGACGGGACCCATGGACATACCGACTATGATAATGCCTGTATACTTAGCGAGCAGTATACTGGTGTCTTTTCTCTTGAGGCCTCTCTACCTCAAGTTGAGTTGGTCACAAATGTCCTGGAGGATTCTTGCCTAACTGAAATCAGCATAACGGAGACACAAGTCTTCGGGCTATTGCAAGGGCTAAATCCTTCCAAAGCTTCTGGCCCTGATTCAATTCATCCGAAGCTGATGCATGAATTGGCCGCTGAGCTAAGTAACCCTCTGTCATGCATGTTTACAATATCATTCGACAGCTGTGCCTTACCTTCTGAATGGAAGAAGGCAATCATCTGTCCGATTTTTAAGGGCGGGGACAGAGTTCTGCCCGCGAACTACCGGCCTGTCAGCTTAACAAGTGTAGTAGTTAAGTTGTTTGAAAAATTGGTCAGGGATTCGGTGGAGAATCACCTGATTAAGTTTAACCTTCTCCGTGCGGCCCAGCATGGATTCCGTAAGGGATTTTCATGTCTGACAACTTTACTTGTAGCTCGTGAAAGCTGGGCTGAGGCAGTAGACAACGGTCATGCCATCGACGTGCTTTTCGTTGACTTCTCGAAATCCTTTGATACTGTCCCACATCAACGACTCTCCTCGAAGTTGAGATCGTATGGGATACCTGGAGCCGCCCTAAAATGGGTTTCTGCTTTCCTAGAGGGCAGAGAACAGTGTGTACGCGTGGGGCGTAGCCTTTCGCTTAGACAAGCTGTTCTTAGTGGCGTTCCGCAGGGCTCGGTTCTAGGGCCGTTGCTTTTCGCAATTTATGTCAATGACCTACCCGAGGAGCTTGGAGTACCGTCGCTATTGTTTGCTGATGACCTCAAGCTCTGGAATATTGTGGATATCCCTGGTGGCTCTGAGGCACTTCAGAGTGCTTTGGATAGGCTCTGGGATTGGTCAACCTTATGGTTGATGCCCATAAATCAGGCGAAATGTTCTGTCCTCCGCATTGGAGGTGCTAGTCCCCCCACGCGCTATGTAGTTGGTGGAAGTGAACTCCCTGTTGTCATTCAGCAGGTTGATCTAGGTATCACCCATACCTCATTGCTTCACTCTGGGGAAAATTGGAGGAAGGCTGCTTGTAGAGGGTTCCGTATGATGTGGTTTATTCGCCGCTCCTTCGGTGTCCTAACGGCCAATATCTTTGTGAAGCTGTTCTCAGCTTTCGTGCGACCTCACTTAGAGTACTGTATCCAGGCTTGTCCACCTTGTCTTGTAAGGGACAAAATGGAACTGGAGAGGGTTTTGCGAGTGGGCACAAGGTTAGTGCAAGGATTACGGGGGCAAACGTATCCCGAACGTTTGCTTAGCTTGGGTATGTACTCAATGCACTACCGCAGAATTAGAGGAGACTTGATTCTCACTTACCGTATCTTAACGGCTAAGATCGGTCCAGACTTGTCCTGGCTATTTAGTCCCGCCAAGCTGCCTAGTCTCCGAGGTCACCCGTTGAAGCTGCACAAACAGCGTTCTGACCGGGTAAGGACGGAAACTCGCTTGTCGCGTCGAGTTATTGAACGTTGGAACTCGCTTCCGGCGCACGTGGTTAGGGAGTCTACGGTAGAGGGTTTCGAGCGTCAGTTAGATGCTCTAGGGTGGCAGTACCAAACGTTCCCCTTCTCATAACCGACTTGTATCTTCAACTTTCCCTTCGTTCTTTTTAATTTTCTTCTCACCTTGGTATTATCATTATTTAGCTGACATTCCGCTTCTTCTTTTCTTAGCTTACCGTTCACTCTCTTACTTCACATAAACCGGCCTGGCAGGGACTGCTGGGCAGGAAAATGTGGGCAGTAATTGGTTGGACAGGGTGTGATGCGGTCTTTGTTTTAGGCTTTTCAACATCTCAAGCAGACCTGTCAATTCCCGATCCGACGATATGCAAAAGAAGGAACATACACGGGATTAACCTATCGTTCCGGTCCCAACTGAACTTGAACTAGAACTTGACCGAACCCAACGTATATTGTGCAGGCTACAAGAATAGGAAGCGAATCAGACAGAGCGAGAAACGCGCAGCGAGGTACTCACCAAAACGGTTTTGTGTCCACGGACGTGCAGTTAAAGCGAGAAGTAGGATCGGTACGCTTTAGAACCAATACGCGAATATAAGGCCAACCTCCGATGAGTGGAGAACACCAAAAGTAACACTAGGAAAAGTTTATTAAGTGGGACGAAACGCTATCTATTGCTAAAAATAAGGCACCGGAAGATAGCTAGCTAGGGAAAAGGTGTGGTCGCGTGCGCGGAGAGCAAAGATGGCCGCGGAGCCGATGAGTGTCGCGCCGTTCGAAGGCGGATGCTATGTTGACTCAAACAAACGCGAGCAACGTTCAAACAGGCGAGCGGCTAATTTGCTATGTACATCGAGAAAATATAATTTTGTGATTTTGTAATATTTTACGCAGCATGCGGCAGCCAAACAGGGGAATCTCCAGGTCACTACACAGCCCCCGCTTAGAAGGGAACCGTAGGTGACCCTTCGATCTACGTGAGGACTGTCCGTCGCCGGCCAGCCTTCTGCGAGACCAGGCGGTGAAACCTGATGCAGCTGCTGGGGGAGAACCAATGCGATCGTACGCTAGGGGGCTCCCACCTGTGTCCTCCCTACAGGTGCCAGAAAAACAAAACGGGGGGAATGTTCGTAGCGTTCGAGTGCGTAGTGTCACAGCACATGATGTTTGAGCACGTAGTGTCCGAAAACGTAACGTTCGATTGTCGTTGAACGTCCGCGTGTCGGGGATATGAAAAAGAAGCGGAAACGCGGAGTGTCAAACAGGTGCGAGCGACAGAGCTAACAAAAGGCGATAGCACTTACCGAGTGCGATAAGCGAATAAAGCGAGAACCATTTGTGTTTTCAAAACGATTTTCTCCTTTTTTTAGGTTTTCAAAACGTTTTTGCGGTTTTTGGGGTTTTCAAAACGCTTTGCAAACTTTTTAGGTTTCAAAACTGCCGTTTATTGGGCGGGTTAGGCCACAAACAAAAGGAAGCGGGAAAGGAAGAATGTAAAGAAGACTAATCTTTCAATCGCGCTGGCTAATGAACTTGCCTACCTGACCTAGTCGATTTCGGACGTTCGGTCGGAGGCGTTGTCGATCCAGCAGTTTTGTCGGATGAGGAAGCTTTCGGCTCGATATAATCGGAAGGAACTGCGTCGGACGAGTTAGTCGGAGAATGCCTCATAGCATCGGAAGTAGGCGTGTCGTCGATCATTGGCTAGGTTGACTCGTCCGAAGGTGGACGGGAGTCATCGTCGATCTCAGGTTCCACATGGGCAACCTTGAGACGGTCGATAGAGACAGTTTCACGTTTACCGTGGCGGTCGATAACGAATACGCGGTCCTTACGTTTAAGACCCTTAAATGGACCTTCGTAGGGTCGTTCGAGTGGTCTGCGTAGACCATCGACTCGAAGAAAAACGTAAGCGCAATGCAGTAGATCT